TTTGATCATAGAGTACGGAATGTACCTCAAGTGTCTTCAGAAACGCGTTAACCTCGCTGCCTTGTTCAAAACAAGCCAAGCGCTCCGATCCGCCGTGTAGAAAACAAGGTTGAATTCCTCGAAAGACAATGTCATATCGAAAAGCGTTCGTTTGTTTACAAAGAGGAAACTGAGCTTTCTTTCGAACTTTCTCGTTCCATTTGTGTCCTTTATCGGCGTATTTTCAATCTTGAAATGCAAAACTTTAGTCTTGAAAACCACCGCATGATGAAAGCGCGCCAGCCATTCTGTTGGTGGATGACATTTACTAAGGTGTAAAATCCGTTTCTTCCCTCGCCCCCTAAATGGTTGATATGACCATTGGACGTTTGTGGGGTTTACTGATTTAGTTTGAGAATTTTTTCCCAAACTTCTCTGGAGTTAGAAATTCTTTCCCCGAGATATAACGGTGTAAGATTATACTCATGAGCGATATTTTTTTCAGTGCAGGATATTTTTTTTTTCCAGGAATTTACTTGGATGTTTCTTTCCTCTCGAAATCAGTCAGCGGGACATTTCTTCTGAAATCACCCATAATCCCCTCAAAAGTCAAATGGTCGGCCCCTAAAATCCACCAAACATTTGGTCAGTTGACAGATTCTGATTTGTCAATCATTTCTTAAGGCTTTTGAAACAATAGGGGACAACACTCTCTAGGGGAGAGGGGAGGAATTCATTTCTACTTACCCATACCCGGAAAGTCCGTACAGATGGACGTACGGTGACGTCATACAAAAATTTTCTCGGATGGATAGTTCATCAAATTTTATTACCCATGGTGCTCCGCTGCGCGGTCTTTGCGCGCGCGGGGGCTCCGCTTTGATTATAACGAAAATGTGAGTGTAGTGAGGAGCGCATATTTTAATAACTGGTTACCCTGCATCAAGCAAGTACAAGCCTCAGTAAATCCCAAATTTTTCTTCCCATATTTTCTTTAAAACGAATCTATATTAAATAATTCCACTTAGCACGTCTGGATGAAATACTTTTATAAAAGATACTCTCAGAAATACATATTATGAATAAGTGAACAGTCAAATTTGTGTACTTATTATTTTCTTCCACAGGAATTGCCTGCATGGCCGGCGTCGGGTAGTTTTTTAGCATTTTGGGATTTTTGTTATAGAGCGCGCCCGAGCGAGCGTCCTCGAAATTTCTCCCTTCGAGCTTGATTAGTCCCTAGTTGGGGAGCAAGGGTCGTGTAGTGGTGAGAACACTCGCCTCATGTTGCGAACACATTCTGCATTTGCTCTCCACTTGCTGGCCACATATTACTTTCTGATAGTTTCTGGTGTTTATTGCCTGATCTTGAGCTGCTACAAGTAGTCCCTCTGTTTCTCCTTTCAAATTACTTGACAACCATTTGTTGTTGGTGACTGTGTCTACATGAGGCTTCTCTAGGATCTTTGGATACTGGCCATGCCATGCCTTGTTTTATTTATTATTATTATTATTATTATTATTATTATTATTATTATTATTATTAGCGCTTCCAGTCCGCCTGGGTGGTCTGGGTATGTTGATCAGGTTCATCGGCGTGGCTCACAGTGCTTCCTATCCAAGATTTGGGCTTTTACCTGAATAAATTAAGGGAGTTTTGCAACGCTGTAAAACTACCCTACAAGTGGCCAGTGGGTGATATCACCTCCTTCTGTGTTTGTGGGGAAGCTCTTACCGTAGACCACTCCATGATTTGCAAACTTTGAGGTTTTGTTAGATATGTCTTGTAACTCAGCGTCGCAACGAGCTATGAGATCTGGAACCCGAACCTCTGAGTAGGGTATGTAGTGATGTTGAAACCGAGCCAGTCATTTAAGATATCTCTGGAGAACAGCTAAGTAGAGGATCTAATATAAGCACAGGATGCGAGATTGGATATCCATGCAGGTGGATTCTGGGAGCACTAACGATAGGCATTCTTTGATGTCAGGGTCTGTCAACCACATGCCGAATCGTACAAGGACCTCGAACCGCAACAGGTCTATTGTATGCATGAGAACGGGAAAAAACGTCTGTATTGATATTCAAGAAAAGTTCTCGACATTGAACATGGAATATTTACGACCTGGGTGTTTACAACAGCTGGCGGTATGGGGAGACAATCTCTCAGGTATCACGGTCGACTAGCGGAGCTGATTTCCATTCAGAAAGACGAACAATCTCTTTAAAACTATGTCGTGGAACAGAAGCAAAATCTTGTTTACATTATTAAGATCAGAACTCATTTGTCTTAGAGGATCTAGGGCAAAAAGGAAAGCTCAGTATCATGATATTAAGAGCGCTGACATTGAGATCCAAAATGTAGAAGGCGCCATTTAGGAGTACGAGGTTTTATTCTTTTTAACTTGCTTCTTTTAATATCAGAAACGGATAATTTTCTTTGGTCATGAATTAATTTAAAACACTGGACTGTGTGCAAGTGATATTGTGCTACCAACAATGATCGCATCTGAGCCGCAAGGAATGTATTTGGGACATCGTTATTGACACTGAATGTTACTGATTTATACTGATTCATAATGTTGTATAGTAGTTAATTCTTACTTCAAATATTTCTGTAAATTACGTACATATTTTCAAAGTTGAACAAAGTTTTATTATCATTAAAAAATATTATTATTATTATTACTATTACTATTACTATTACTATTACTATTACTATTACTATTACTATTATTATTTTTCCCAAGGCCCCATTATTCTGCGCGGCCAATACGTTTCGGGGCACGTAATCACAGCGAAAAAGTAAGCGAGTGTTTCCTGCCCGTTCGCCATATGGCGTCATCAAAGTGAATTGACCGAGAAGGTCTGGGTAAACGCTATACAGGGACTAGGCAACCTTCGCCGTAAAAAAACTGGCGCCTACTACGAAGGATACGCCAGGAAAGTCAAAGGAGTTGCGAAAATTACATCTAAAAGGAACTTCATCTGGTGACGTTGTTGCATTCTATATTCAACTTCTGCTAACTATGGATACTAGAAAAGGGTCAGTTAAAGTTCAACTTTTTTATAATAAAATGTTTAATCTTAAGTGTTACCGGATCACTGTCTCACGTCCACGTAATGCAGCCGCAAGGGCCCGCACAATCCGTTCTCTTAACCAGGCTTAAACTTTTCTTTCAGATGAAATTTTTTTCAACGCCAGTTTTGACTTCCTTAATTATGCCATAGTGGTCGTTATTATACAAAGATGACGAAGAAAGTAATAAGTAAACACATTTATTTTGTTCAGCTATTATACAATGTATATTTTTGAGAGTATCTTTCTAAGTCTTGAAGGTATTTTATCCCGCCCCAGACGACTTAAGTGGAATTGCAAATTAACCACAGACATTGAGGTGAAAAGCTCATCCTGCCATAGCCATATTAGTTTCGTGGTATGAAATCCTCTTAGCAGCTAATTGTTGCACTTCACAGTTGATTAAAGTTTTGTCGTTCAGGAAGTGCTTGATAAGATACAATCATGTTCGCGAGTGAAATTGACCAACTCAGAACAGGCGTCATCGTTTAATTTCTTTTACCGCGGTTGTCTGGAAAAGGGAGCTTTAGCATCGACGACGGCAACGGCTGCGAACACGTCAGTTTTAAAATGAATTCCCGTTTTTTCAATCTTTGTCGCGTCTATTCCAATTTGCTGAAAATGGCAAGTGTAGGCGAATTTCGCTGGGGTTGATTTCTTGAGGACCGCACTCAAGTTTAGAGAGAGAAAAAGAGATTCGTCGTCGCTTGTTTACGTCCTCCATAAAACTTGCAATGAGGCATTTTCACTTCGTAGTCGTGCAAGGACGGTAAAGAAATGTACAAAAAAGCGTGATGCACGTGCATTGCGTAATAAACCTATTGCTTTTTTGACGTCCTGGTTGCTGTCGCCGTCGTCGTTGCTAAAGCTCCCTTTTTGATGCGTAGTGCCGGAATGCGGAGTGTAGAAAACGTGAAGTGGAGAAAATGAGGAGTTTGTATTTTTGTGGAAAATATAAAATAGAGGACAAAACTCAGTTAAACTTTTTTTTTTACCATGGAACCAATCGCACGTAAATTGTGTATGAAATTGCCTTGAAATTGCGAATTTCCCTAGAGTAAAAGACAAGCCTTCACATTGCCACGAGGCGCATATTAAGCCCGGGGGGGGGGAGGTACATTAGATTTGTTTGGTGGGGGTGTGCCGCAGGGACCCTCTTAGCCTATACCAAATCAAGCTCAGGTGAATTTTGCGACCTTATAGTAGACTAAGCTCCCCAAACCCCTCCTTATCCTAGAGTCGCTACTTTCCAGAAACTACAGGGTCGACACTTTCTTTGCCGTTAAACTGAGTGGCGAGTAAGTTCAAACTTTCTAGTTTTATATTTTTGAGAGTAGTTTATTTCCGTTTTCCCTAGTCTAGAATAAATTTTCAACCAATCGTTCAGTTTACTCCCCCCGGGTATATAGACAATGTCGCTGAAGCGTTCGTAACGAAAGAACTTCGGCGCAGAGAGCTTAAAAGTTTAGAAACGGCACATTGTATGAGACATATGCATCATGAAAATACCGACGAACTTCTTGAACCACTTATACTGCCAGTAAAATCGACTTTTTTTAAAAGCTACCTGCAGATTAAGCAACAATATTTAGTTGGCGCCGTTTAGCCACACTGAAATTCTTTCGCAAAGACATTAAAACGGCGGTTTAATGGTCATAAGTTATAAGTAGGATCGTGCTGGAATTTTACGGTTGATGAGATGTTGAGGAACTTGAACTGCAATTTAAAAGTACTGGACTTGCTTATCTGATGAATATTATAATGTACAGAATTACGTGTACAGAATTAGTGTACCCGCCGGAAGTGGTGCCAATCCCAGCAATATCACTCCAGGTTCAACTTGCATATAGGCTGTCGTTCTCTCTGATTTTTTGCCATAACGACAAATTCGCACTGGAGTGAGAATCGGAGCGCAGAATTTTTGGATTTTTTTGTCTCCAAGATGCTTCGTTACATGCTATTTTTGTTTATCGCTACATCGCCGATTGTCATTCTTCCTCGCTCACTAACCGGTGTACAAGGAGTAAGTCCATCTTTTATTAACTCGAAATTGATGGAGTGGACGAAATGTGCCTCAAGTGGTTTTTGATTCATCTCCTTCCAGTTTGCCTTGTAGCATATATGGGAGCGAATCGAAGGGAGAATTTAACATTAGATCAGGATTCGCATAGTCCTTAATTCCTAACCTCCCTTTGTTTTTCTTTACAATTCTTACTCCCGCATCGTAAGAGATCTGAAAAGTCAGTAACAAGTAACGGATTCATTTTACTTTACAGAGTTCACTGCCAAACTACCATGAAGAAAAGAACATGTACCAGAGCTACTGGAAAGACACAAAAATCAAGGAAGTTGATGAAGATGCTAAAATATCAGCAAAAGGTATTACTGAAAATATACATTAGCTATAGCATCGCCATTATTCATACTCACTTACTTTTTCAAATGTAGTCAAACAATTCCAGGGGCGTAGCCGGCTTTTCGACTAGTTGCACGCTTGGCTGACTTTGATTTCCACATATCCTGAAGACTGCACGCATGACTAGTACGCACTGACCTCACCAACACTTTGAGCTCTTAAGCTTTGTAGCTCACCTCAACAACGCATGATTTATTAAAAGCGGTAGAGTGATCAAACCAAAAATTTGTAGGCCCGGGCCAAGAGGTCTTTATAATGGGCTGCCTACGCCACTGACGTTTGGAGTTGAATTTAGGTCCCTTTAGGTCCCTGTTATGTTTTCGAATGAGTATGATGGAACTAAGAATGGATTATTATACGTTTCTGGGTAACTGTCCACCTACCCCTCCCCTATAAGCCAACATTTCTGACAACCAGTTGCGCACTCAGACGGGTTAGTGGTCCCGCCCATAGTTTCCAACAATAGCCTCCCACTCAGAAAACCTAAACGCGTTCAACCCGCAGTGCATGTGGTTGACCGAGGGAGTGATGTCTGGTCATAAGTGGACGTGTTTCATTCTTGGGAAGCGATTTTGCCCAAATGTTTGGGCAAATCGTCTCTATACACGTAAACGCACTTAGCACTGAGACACATTTGGTAGCTTCATGGTATATTAACCCTTTAAACCCTAGGATCAAAATCTGAATTCTCATTTGTGGCCCCTATTCATTTCCTACAGAAGTAGAGGGGAGAGGTTGATAAAATATCATGCAAATTCATCTTGTGTAATCATGTCCGTAATTCTCATGACCACTCTGTTTTACAAAGCATTGTTATTACAAGGAGAAATTCGATGCTGATCACTCTTAGGGCTTAAAGGGTTAAAAGACTGCGCCTCAATCCCGGCTGACGTGCGCCGTCTATGAACGCCGGTTTAATTTCGGAAGCCAATAATGTTCTGTTCTATTTTAGAGTGTTACCATTACACGTTCCTTAACGAGTCCAGCAGAGCAAACTCCTTTTACAACATCAGTATTGACTTCCTTTGTGATGATGATCTTAACGGATGGTATCGCTTTGGGGGAGATGCTGGAAAGCAAATGGCGGATTCATGTGTTCCCGAGTTTCGATGTGGCGCAGAACTGCCGGGTTGGCTGAATGGCAGTCATCCTGAAAGAGCTGAGGGTGTTGTCCGACGCAAAGTTTGTTTCCGTTACAAAAACAATTGTTGTGAATACTCAACAAGCATCACAGTCCGTAACTGTGGAGGATTCTACGTCTACCACCTTGGGAAGCCCCCAATTTGTAACTTTCGTTACTGCGGCAACGGAACACTCAAACCAAGTGAGAATTTAATTTTCCCGTATAACCTGCTCTGTCAGTTATTCTCAACCTCCTCTTCCCTCAGCCACCAACCCCTTCCCCCTTCGCAATGTGACACCGGAACCTCGGATCCTGCATGGAAGATTTGTTCCTCGGGCCTTCCTCGTCTCTTATTATGTCTCAAACACGATAGTATATTTTCGCTTCTTCGTATATCAAACACGGGTCACAATGTTTATCGTACATTACAGAGGAAAGCATTAAAAATATCCGAAGCGTAGCCGAGTGCGACAGATTTTTTTCCCGACCCCTCTTCAAATACAACGAACTCGAAAATCGTTCCAGATACAAGACTCCGACTACCACTGATGCCTCATACTATCATTACAAACAGCCAGATGGTGACTACCATAACACTCAAACTACTCACTCTTAGTCTCGCAGTTGTGGGCCAAATGCCCCCCACGCCGTAGCCATAAAATTTCAAATTTTCGTGTGCGACACATGAATATGGTGCTTGAGGACCTGCACTTAGCCGTGTCGGTCCTGTTGTCGTAGCTAAGGACTTTAATTTTGTTGCTTTCATTACTCTTCGGCACTTTTCTTCGACTTCCTTTCTTTTTTAAGCACCTTGCCTTTACTTTAAGGGTTTAGAATATTATAAAATTGCGTTTCTATCTTATAAGGATTCTCCTATCAGATTGGAAAAGTAGACGTTTCGAAGACAAGGCAGGAATGGAGTCGCAACAGCAGCAAATGTGAAGCGCCGACTCACTGTACATTGTCACGTTGCACAGATGTGACTTTTCATCGGGAATTCGTTGGATTACGGACTGTAAGTATTTATGACTGCATACCAAGATGTGCTTCCGCACTTTTAAAGTGGACTAAGCTATGAGCTTAAACTTTACGTCATCGTTAAATTCATGAACAATGCTTCCCCGGGGAATTTCAAATGAGTCAAGGAACTAATGTGTATTCCAACCCTTCATCAACTAAGAGTTAAGAATCGAAAAAAATAATGATAATAATTCGCCATCTTTTGGTTAATGTTACCAGACAGTTTCGTGTTGGAGTTAATCTCAGAATATCGATTTCTCAGTTGAAATGACTTCAAGTTAGACCATAGAAGCACTCGGTGTTTTCTTGAAAATAATATTGTAAAGGAGACAAAAAAAAACGTTACAACGGTCGATCAAAACGACTAAAACAAGGAGAACAGCTGAAAGGGAACAAGTTAGTACTTCGATGGACTGACAGTGGCATATCAACGGCACTGGAGCGCTTTATCTGTTTTTACTTATACAAATTTCTAACCGATGCATTTCAGGTCCACGTTTTTGTGTCACTGAATCATGAAGAAAACTCATCGATGGCTCACACGCCCTCGGCTCTATGGGCAGAATCCATCAATACAGTTGGATTTAAACTATGTTCGCGCACGGCGGGTAATAAAAACGACACAGGAATTATCAACTGGTTAGCTTTCGAAGACCAGCCAAGCACAGGCATAACGCAAGGAAGCGTTGCTCTTGGTGGAATATGGACCACAGAAACCAAATGTGAAAAAGTGGCCTTTTTTCAGGTTAGATCATGAAATTAGTTAGCAATTTGTTGAAAATAAAGTACAAAAATGCTGCATGTAAGAACAACACTTTTTAGCAGGAATGACATTGTGCTTTCTGTGATTTCTCAAGGTTTTTTTGGTATGTAACACCTTAACACCAATCAGTGGCGGACGGAGGATTTTGTGATAGAAGGGACCTAGAGACATAGTAACTGTATACAGTGGTAATATGAGCGCGATAGCGCCTATCAGGACTGCGAAATTAAATTAAATTTTATGATGCTAGCGGGGACCGACGCGATTGCGGCGGGAGCACAACCTCCCAGAAAAGGCAGCAACATTGTCTCCCTGAAAGATTGTCAAATCCAGATTGTTTGAGAAGGATATTTACTGCATGCGTTTTGGGAGCTTTGGTCATTTGCGACCAAAAATGTAGGCTTCGAACACAGATTCAAAGAAGATTTATATTAAAAAAAATTCAACAAAGGAAATGCATCCCAAGGACATGACTCTAAGACCAATCATAAGTAAATTCATTGCATGGGATTGATAAATGTCATCCTTCTCTTGTTGCGCTTGGCATAGTCGTCAATAATTGCATCATAATCCAGAGCAACGTCCTTGTGAATAAAGAGCAGCGACAGTGCGTTAAGGCGGTGTTCTCTCATGGTGCTTCTAAAACAACTCTTTACAAAGCGCAGTGATGAGTTGCTACGTTCCACGGTTGCACTTGTGACAGGGCCGATCATTAGGAGCCGCAAAATTGTGTGGAGTTTGGAGTATAGGCCTTTGTTACAGGCTGCCAATTCTTCTTGTAAAATGGAGGGTTTTTCGGTTCTATTTATCCTGAAAATGAAAGCAACAACTTACATATATCGCAAAACAGAAATGGTTTCCTTCGCGTATCACTGAAAAAACGTTTCATAACCATGTACATGAGTACATATAAACTTAGTGAAACTGTGCTGTATTCTTTGTAAAATTGAAAGAAAATTACCATACCAAAAGCGCTTCCACAGCTCTGGCTTCTGAGACGCACGCCTTGGCAGTGTAAGATCGGGCAAATAGTGACGAATGATTTTCTTTTGAGAAGACTTTTAAAGCTTCTGCAAGTTGGAAGGTATCAGTAGTATCTTTCAGTTTGTCGGTTTCAAGCTAGTTTATAAGGGCGGTTGATTCGAACAACGTTCGATAAATTTTCTTCAGTGTTAACAATGTTTATTTAAGAAAATATAGTTAAGTAACAAAGCTCGACGTACCATCTGACACACGTTTACAAAAGAAAACAATTCCTGTACAAAAGGTGGGGGCCTGGGCGTCCTGGGCCCACTCCTCTGAATCCGCCCTTGTTAACGTTGTCAAAACCAAGGCCTCTGTCCCGGATTAATAGATGGATCAAATTTCAGTCAATCTACGTCCATTTCATTGTCCATAGGCTCATTTGACCTCGTATTTTGTCTTCCAGAGCTTTGCCTCTAAGCCGTACGTGTTTGTTTCCGCAAAGTACGGCCGCAGTACAAAGCAAACTGATGCTGTTTATGTATGGTTGGAGAATGTAAATTCTGAAGGTTTCAAAGTTTGCATCAGGGAATTCTTGCCTTTTGATGGAAAACACAGAGATACAATTGTGGTACGTGGGAAATAACGATAAAGTATACACGTAACATAGATATTATGTCTTTGGCGGGGAATCAATCGTCATTTCATCAGCTGTGATCTAGGACAAGGAATAGGTAGTGTCTGGCGTCCCACAAGGCTCCATATTAGGTCCTTTTATATTCAATTTGTACTTAGCAGATCTGCAGGACTCTATGCCAGTGTTTAACAGGTTACCTTTTTTAGGTTAATGCGTTTTTAGAATTTCTGCAAAAACCGGAAAGGGAAAAGTAACAACCTCTCTTAATATGAGGCATGAGGTAACCAGTGCTTCGAAGGCTATCAACTAAAACAGTAAAATGATGATGAATTCTCTCACTTAATTTGGATCATCATAGGTTTCTGGGAAACTGCCCACCTACCCCTCCCCTAAGCCAACATTAACACGTACTTCTCACTTAGGGCAAATCCATCAAATAATCCCAAGGGGGATCATTATACGTTTCTGGGAAACTGCCCACATACCCCTCCCCTAAGCCAACATTAACACTTACTTCTCACTTAGGGCGAATCCATCAAATGATCCCTTGGATCATTCGACGTTTCTGGGAAACTGCCCACCTACCCCTCCTCTAAGCTACCATTAGCAATTACTTCTCACTTAGGGCAAATCCATCAAATGATCCCTTGGATCACTATACATGTCTGGGAAACTGCCCACCTACCCCTCCCCTAAGCTACCATTAGCAATTACTTCTTACTTAGGGCAAATCCATCAAACGATCCCTTGGATCACTATACATGTCTGGGAAACTGCCCACCTACCCCTCCCCTAAGCCAACATTAGCACTTACTTCTCACTTAGGGCAAATCCATCAAATGATTCCTTGAACATTATACGTTTCTGGTTTTTTTTTTTCACGAACAGGACTGGTTCGCATTCCTCAGGCTTGACAACGTGACTGCCGGAGAAAAGTTCTTTCCAAATGACGGATACCCGTCAGCTGAGGACAACTATGGCTTCTGCCAGGTGAGTGGTAGCTGTCAATCGGCTGTCAAGGTAACAAAGACCAAACTACTTGAGTGTTTTGTTTGTGCTTTACTACGTTAATCGATGAGAACCACGATCGTTTAGCCCCTGCCACCGGTCGACACTATCTCTGGTTACGTCCGTCTGCGAAACAGCGCGAAAGTCCTTGGTCTGGGCCCCTACCTGTTTAACAGGATTTGAGTACGGGCCATAATTGGTCTGTTTAAAATGCCATTGTCGATTTGACAGTCAGGTTGATGGGAAATACAAAACGTATTTCAGAACAAGGATATCCAAGGAAGGAAAGGAAACCCCGGAAAGGAATCCGCAGAACAAGGATATCGGCACACTTCGCGGACGTTACAAACACTGAGGTTAAATTACGTTTGCTACGCAGGCTACGATTCTAAATCGTGTTGAATTTCTTCTTTCTTACAGGACGTTTCTTTCAATAAAACATTCCACGAGTCACCAGTTGTCCTTGTTTCTGTCAATCACCGATACGATCGCCAGTCGAAGGGCCGGTTTCTCCCGGAAAATAACATAATCTCGACCTGGGTGGAGGTAGGTTTGTGTTTCGTTCTCTATACTCACGTCATTAGACATTCCCAAATAGGAAAACTTTTAAATTGTAAACCACGGTTACACTTTGGTGTGTTCATTTCCTGCCGTTCTCTTTTTCTTTATTTACTTCAAGTTAGACCATAGAAGCACTCGGTGTTTTCTTGAAAATAATATTGTAAAGGAGACAAAAAAAAACGTTACAACGGTCGATCAAAACGACTAAAACAAGGAGAACAGCTGAAAGGGAACAAGTTAGTACTTCGATGGACTGACAGTGGCATATCAACGGCACTGGAGCGCTTTATCTGTTTTTACTTATACAAATTTCTAACCGATGCATTTCAGGTCCACGTTTTTGTGTCACTGAATCATGAAGAAAACTCATCGATGGCTCACACGCCCTCGGCTCTATGGGCAGAATCCATCAATACAGTTGGATTTAAACTATGTTCGCGCACGGCGGGTAATAAAAACGACACAGGAATTATCAACTGGTTAGCTTTCGAAGACCAGCCAAGCACAGGCATAACGCAAGGAAGCGTTGCTCTTGGTGGAATATGGACCACAGAAACCAAATGTGAAAAAGTGGCCTTTTTTCAGGTTAGATCATGAAATTAGTTAGCAATTTGTTGAAAATAAAGTACAAAAATGCTGCATGTAAGAACAACACTTTTTAGCAGGAATGACATTGTGCTTTCTGTGATTTCTCAAGGTTTTTTTGGTATGTAACACCTTAACACCAATCAGTGGCGGACGGAGGATTTTGTGATAGAAGGGACCTAGAGACATAGTAACTGTATACAGTGGTAATATGAGCGCGATAGCGCCTATCAGGACTGCGAAATTAAATTAAATTTTATGATGCTAGCGGGGACCGACGCGATTGCGGCGGGAGCACAACCTCCCAGAAAAGGCAGCAACATTGTCTCCCTGAAAGATTGTCAAATCCAGATTGTTTGAGAAGGATATTTACTGCATGCGTTTTGGGAGCTTTGGTCATTTGCGACCAAAAATGTAGGCTTCGAACACAGATTCAAAGAAGATTTATATTAAAAAAAATTCAACAAAGGAAATGCATCCCAAGGATATGACTCTAAGACCAATCATAAGTAAATTCATTGCATGGGATTGATAAATGTCATCCTTCTCTTGTTGCGCTTGGCATAGTCGTCAATAATTGCATCATAATCCAGAGCAACGTCCTTGTGAATAAAGAGCAGCGACAGTGCGTTAAGGCGGTGTTCTCTCATGGTGCTTCTAAAACAACTCTTTACAAAGCGCAGTGATGAGTTGCTACGTTCCACGGTTGCACTTGTGACAGGGCCGATCATTAGGAGCCGCAAAATTGTGTGGAGTTTGGAGTATAGGCCTTTGTTACAGGCTGCCAATTCTTCTTGTAAAATGGAGGGTTTTTCGGTTCTATTTATCCTGAAAATGAAAGCAACAACTTACATATATCGCAAAACAGAAATGGTTTCCTTCGCGTATCACTGAAAAAACGTTTCATAACCATGTACATGAGTACATATAAACTTAGTGAAACTGTGCTGTATTCTTTGTAAAATTGAAAGAAAATTACCATACCAAAAGCGCTTCCACAGCTCTGGCTTCTGAGACGCACGCCTTGGCAGTGTAAGATCGGGCAAATAGTGACGAATGATTTTCTTTTGAGAAGACTTTTAAAGCTTCTGCAAGTTGGAAGGTATCAGTAGTATCTTTCAGTTTGTCGGTTTCAAGCTAGTTTATAAGGGCGGTTGATTCGAACAACGTTCGATAAATTTTCTTCAGTGTTAACAATGTTTATTTAAGAAAATATAGTTAAGTAACAAAGCTCGACGTACCATCTGACACACGTTTACAAAAGAAAACAATTCCTGTACAAAAGGTGGGGGCCTGGGCGTCCTGGGCCCACTCCTCTGAATCCGCCCTTGTTAACGTTGTCAAAACCAAGGCCTCTGTCCCGGATTAATAGATGGATCAAATTTCAGTCAATCTACGTCCATTTCATTGTCCATAGGCTCATTTGACCTCGTATTTTGTCTTCCAGAGCTTTGCCTCTAAGCCGTACGTGTTTGTTTCCGCAAAGTACGGCCG